ATTTCCCTCCAAGGTGTCCTGACTATATTGTATGACATTTTCAAAACCATAAGAATAGCACTGATTTATCAAATAAACTGCCATGCTATTTGGTCTCCAAAATTAATGTGCATATACTGATAATTGATACATTAGCTGCTTTTGTCAAGAGATCTGTAATGAGGACAATCTATTACTAATCAATGAAAATTAAATTAACAAGTGAAAAGTCTTTTGTTGGGTACCTATAATATTAGGTTTACTAATTTTGAGACTAAACAAGATGCCCAGAAAGAACTGAATTCAACGTGCTATCAAGCATATAATCACGATTTTTTACTTAAAATTGTGACAGAAAACCTTCTCAAATTTCTAAATTTCAAAAATTATCCAAGGCTGTAACAGCTGGTATTCAAACTTGGAAGTATTGTGATTTCTGTAAAACACTTGGATTTCTTGTTTTCACTGTTCTGTTTTTACCAACCATACCAGGTAAATATCCTAAGGAACTTCTTCTTGGTATATTTCCTGGTTAAATGACTTGAATTGTAAAATACTGTAATTAACATTTTTCTCATTTTTAAACATCTAATGTTGAAGTTTAATTTTGCTTCAATAATCTTAAAGGTACTTTAATACTATTTAAAACCCAGTATTTTAAAATAGGCCAGTTTTTAAGAAGTCTGATGTACTTGTGATGGCATATGAGAACCACAAAAATCTCTTTCCATATGTAAATAGTATCAAACTTTCCCTTCCTGTATTCTCTCCCCTTACAAAGACCTGTAAGTCCCGTCCAAAAAAACAAAACAAAACAAAACAAAAACAAAAACAAAAAAAAGAAAACCCAGACAACAACAACAAAAAAACCCTTTCTATCCTCCCACCTATAAAGGTTTCCCTAGAGTGAACAAAACAAAAAGCTAAACTAAAAGATGCTTACTATGACAGACATAGGAAGAAGAATGCTAATTTAGCCTCCATTTCTCTACCAACCAGATAGCTGCATCAGTCTTTTGACCTCTAATTGGGGTCCCCTGACTGTGAATACAGGGTTGTCTAACACGAAAGGAAGCCTGGAGCTCCAACATGTTTGTTTTCTCTCCTATAGCAAAGATGTTTAAATTACAAACTAGAGACAGGAAGTCCTAAATATTAACACAGTCTGTCTCTTATAAATTAACTCCCTTTCAATTTCATTTGAAACAGTTTCAACACTAACCATAAACAATGAAATGAGAAGAAAAAAATCTATTGTATATTAAAGCACATGTCATCAGTATGCACAGCAATACTAGAAAATCTAGATTCAAACTAACTGTGCCTCTTTTTAACTACTTGCCTTTCATAAACAAAATATTTTTTATTCTAAAAACAAAAGTTGTCAACAGATCAGGACCAGTTTGCTCACATATTTTCACTCTAATAAACAGCAGGAAATTAACAAGGAAAAAAGACTGAGGGAAGCATTCAGGTAAAGAAAGAAAAAATAAAGAATTTTTGCTTAGTGTGCAGGAAAACTATTGCTAAGAAGTAAATGAACAAAGTCTAAAGGAACTTTAATAGAAACATTTTATTTGGACTCGAATCTAAATTATTAAAGCTATTCTAAAACACAGACTTTTAATTATATTGCAACAAGGCTTCTTTAAGTACTATTCATCAATTCAACCAATATTTATGTGCCAAGCATTAGTATGAGTAAAACTTTAATTTTATAATAATTGACATTTTTGAGGGTTTTACATATACTAACAATGAACAGAACTTAACACTTTTTCACGTAACAACCCTATGAATAGGTACTACTCTGGCCCCATTTTACAGATGAGGGAAAAAAGGAATTTAAAAGAACTTGCAGACGGATGTACAGCTAAACATAGGGACGAGGCTGGAAATCAAACCCAAGTAATAACTCTACTAATAGGAGCCACCAATACCTTAATCACTGTTCTATATGGTCATAATGAAACCATGGGAGACACAAGGCAATACTGGTTAATAATATAATGATACAAATAAAGTGGTTTGACAGCATAAGACACATGGTCACTGCCTACTAGAGGGAAGTCAAAATACTCCATGTCAGTTTAAGCAGTAAAATGTTAGCTAATACTTAGACAAATAAATTATATCAATAAGTACATATTTTAAAACCTAGAATCCATGAGAGCTGGCATTCAATTTCATTTCAATTTAAAACCTGTCAGACTTCCTTTGAGAAACAGGATCTCATTACTTGCAATCTTTCAAAACAAGAACAGGTAAGTTATCAGCAAACATGAGAAGGGAGGAATTACACAGTATTTCTTCACAAAAGGCATGAAGTGCAAGAGAAATAAAATCATTCTTCAAAGGGGCCTCCAAGTGGAAGATCTGTCTCTCCCTCAAGTCAAACTGAAATTTAGAGATTTTTTTAAGTCTGTACATACCATTAATGTCTGCTATCTTCTATCAAAGAAGTCAAAATCAGAAGCAGTTAAAAACAATTCAAGGAGTCGGGGTGCCTGGGTGGCTCAGTGGGTTAAGCCTCTGCCTTCAGCTCAGGTCATGATCTCAGGGTCCTGAGACCGAGCCTTGCATCGGGCTCTTTGCTCAGGGGGGGAGCCTGCTTCCTCCTCTCTGCCTGCCTCTCTGCCTACTTGTGATCTCTGTTTGTCAAGTGAATAAATAAAATCTTAAAAAAAAAAAAAATTGAAGGAGTCAAAATAAATAGATCTGCTTTTTAACATGAAAAACAGGCAATTTCAAAAGAGATAAATTTAAGATATATATATATGGTGTAGAGGAAACTTACAAGGCAAAGCTTAATAAGGCAAGAAAGTTTGTAATAGAACAAGCAACATAATGTTAAAGGGTCAAGGATGGATTGGGTACAAAGGAAGAAGATGATTGTTAATCCCTAAACTACCACCCAAATTACAGAACAATAGAGTATCTTTATACTAAACAAATGAAAAATTTATTTTTATCTAATTTACTAGAATCCTTCCTGAGATGTGGGAGAAATCTGCAGTAGGCTTGGTAGGAGATGATTAAAGTCTGGTCTATGGAGGGGCACCTGAGGAGGGCAATCAGTTAAGGGTCCAACTCTTGGTTTTGGCTCCAGGATGGATCTCAAGGTGGAGAGATTGAGCCCCTGTTCCCTAACCTCTATGCTGAGGTCCTGCTCAGGCTCAGGGCCACTGAATCTGCTTAAGACTCTCACTCCTCCTCCTGCTGCCCCTCCCCCCACTACATGCTGGTCGCAGGTGCTCTCTCCCTCGTTTTCTCTAAGATAGGTAAATAAAATCTAAAAAAAAAATCTGGTCTATGGAAATAGATTTTAAAATAAGGTCACAGAAGAAGCTACATGATGGTGTATAATAACCACATAGAGTCTCTGGTTTATTAGCTCACCTCTTCTTTAAAATAACACGGAAGCATTCACCAAGTTTTTATAAACACTTAGAGGGGTCATCTAGGTGTATACCTAGGCCAGTATATTGTACGTACTTTAAAGTTCACACTATGGCATATATACCAAAAGCTTTCTTAGGAAAAGTTGCTAGAATTTGCATTGGAGAAAGCACTCATACAACTTTAGGAGATGTTACCATCCTATAATCTCCCACTAGAAAACCCCTTTAGGATGCTGCTTATTTCTTCCATCTTAATACCAAGAGCAGAGACAATGTCCAGCTATAGGGAGTCTAGAGTAGCTCACTAAGACCCTCAGAGTTCACTCTCCCCCTGAGCATTCAGGCTAGATTAACATTTACCATCAGAATCTCAAAATTGGTACTGTCAAATGCAAGCTAAGGTATGTATGAATCTCTCCACAGAGGAGGTACATACTCTGAGAATGAGTACTTAGTTGTCACAGATCTAAAAGCACAATTTAGGTATGAAATTCCTATACCATGTTAAATTATCACTATTATTTAATCTAAGATTTATTTTGACTGACAAAGACCACAAAATAATTCATAAGTAAAACAGAAGAAACCCTAGGGGATCTGTTAGGCTGTTTACTTAGTTTCACTTGCTTATGTAAAATTAAGTTTTACTTTTATTCTTAACGAAGAGATAACAACTCAAGTTATGGCAAATATCCTCAGTATTATAAATACGTTTAGACAATGGGTATCATATGCAGTACTTACTTACAGTGTGAAATTATTATAAAAACTACAGTTAAAGCAGAAAACGCCACTGCACTGTTAAGTAGCTAGAAGTTTGGGGCCTTCCTCCTTCCAGTATCTGAGAAGACCAATGAAAAACTAGTCACGTTCAGTAAATCTTAACCTGGAACTACCACTACACACCAGGGAAGTTTTATGGAAAAACTGTAATGCAACTTTTAGTAATTAATGTGAGCAATCTAAAATAAGCAAAAGTTTCCCAGGATTTCTAAACTGTTACATATGGAATTCAAAGAATGACAGGAGAGAATTACTTATGAAAAATCTCTTCTTCTTTCCAAAGTTATTCCTTGGTGAATATGAAGAAAACTACATGAAAACACTGTTTTCACTGGATTACTCAGCGCTAGATGTTGATAGCAAACGATTAATTGTTATAAGACACCCACTTTTTTTTTAATCACAAAGATACTTGATCTTAAATTAGTATAAAGAAATTAAACCAATCTCAACTATTTCTACACTTGACAATTTAAGCCTATGGAGCAGGATACCGAAACGCCCTCATACACATTACAACGACGATTTCTGGATAAACGATTTTGGATAAACCACCCCAGTCCAAGGACGTCAGACTGGAAACTTTAAAAATCCTACAAAACATTCTAACTTCCGACCCAGTGCCTCGATGACGGACATGTTTCTCCCTTTCTCCCTCCTTCGCTCTCAGAAGCCAGGTCCGCCTGGTCCTAGGGGCGGGGACCTTCGTGGGGGACCTGGGGACCCCAGTGCGGGCGACCAGGCATTCCTGGCCTCGGCCCCGTGAGTCTGGGCCGATCCCGGCTGACTCAGGGGCGCGGACCCGCCACGGGCGACGCGGGAGCCTCCCTCACTCACCGTGAAGCGCTGGTCGCCGACGCTGCCCACGGAGAAGCAGTGGTCGCCAGGGTTCACAGCCCCGGTCAGCACCTGGTGCAGGTTCATGTCTGCGTCCTAGTCCAGCAACGGACGCCGCGTCCGGCTCATGCCCAGGGTCAGCTGCCGCTTCCCTCCTCCTTCCTTCAGGGGCGGCGGCCGGTCTTGGGCGGCGACGGCGGCAGCGACAGGCGCCAGGAGCCGGAGCCGCTCAGCTGGGGCCCGCAGTTCATCCCGAGCCCTGGCGGGCAAGGCCCTGAGGGGGCGGGCCGCCGGGAGGGCGCAGCGCGGCGCTCGTCCGCGCACCTGTCACAGCCCGCGCGGGCCCAGGTGAAACTCCGGGGCGACTCAAGGGCCGAGACCCCAGGCCGACTGCCCGGAGGAGGGCCGCGCAATCCACACAGTTCTTCTCGGCTCGGGGTGGCTGGCCCAGACCGAGCCCCAGGGGCGCAGACAGCACGCGCTCGCCTTCCCCGCCTGACCTGTCCCTTCCCGGCTCCGGTGCCCGCCACCCCCACTGGCCTTTGCAGCTTACTACGCGTCGCTAGGTCCCTTCAGCCGAAATATCGCGAGACTTCCCGAGGCGAAGAGGGATACTGCGGTAAAGGACTCACTTTTTTTTTTAACCACAGTTTACAGATCCGCAAGTGGATAAGAAAACGCCTCGTCTAGTCAGATGCTGGCCAATCATGAGCTCCAGTCCACCTGGGGCCCCGCCCACCACTGAGGACAGGCCAATCGCTTGGAGGCTGGTGACTGAGTCTGTCGGTTTGAGTGCGGAACAGAAGGACCCCGGCAGAAACACAATGAGCCTAGAATGAGGTAAAAGTAGTCGAATTATGCTTTAGGATGGGGCTTAATCCGTCGGGTCAGAAAGCGTGAATGGAAGAAATGCGTTATAAATGGAGGTGCAGTGTACTCCGTCCTGGTAGAGACTACAAGTCCCAGCAAGCACCGCTCCCCCCCCCCACGGCGGCCCTTGGGGACTCCCAAGTAGATGTGACCCCCTTCTGGCGTCTCTGTCCCGGCGTAATAGTTTCTCTAGCCTTCCGCGCCTTTCCAACTCGCAAAGCAGAGTGATTTTGAGAGACTTAAATACTCGACAAGTGTTAAAATCAAGTGTTTTCATCTAAATTTTCCTGAACTTAGGTTTTGAAGAACGGCTGACTATACTTACTGCACCAACCCTACGTTGAGCGTTTGTTTCTGGAAAAAACCCTAAGGATTCCAAAAGATTAGTGTCACAGTTACAACTGCTGGATACTCTCAGTGTATTTTGACCCAAGTCTTGTGTTATTGTTGATAAAATATCTGTTTATATGTTTCCTTCCATATATTTAAGCCTCTGAAGTACGGACTGTCCTCTTCGACTGTGTATCCCCAATGTCTAGCGCAGTGTCTGTCCCAGCATAGGTGTTGGGTTAAATGTGAAACGGATGAATATGAACAGGAACTCTCCACCTAAAAAGAGTATTTTGTTAAAAATTGCTAAATTGATTTTTATATACTTTTGTCGTGGTTTAAAAAAATAAAAAAACCTTCACTCTGATACTTGGATGGGAGTATTAATTTTATCCCTTTATGCTTTGCGAAGAAATTTTTTTGCAATGTGCATTTTATTTTGCAGTAAAAAGTCACTTAAGGGGCACCTGGGTGGCTCAGTGCGTTGAGCCTCTGCCTTAGGCTCGGGTCATGATCTCAGGGTCCTGGGATCGAGCCCCACATCAGGCTCTCTCCTCCGCGGGGAGCATGCTTCCCCCTCTCTCTCTGCGTGCCTCTCGGCCTACTTGTGATCTCTCTGTCATATAAATAAATAAAATCTTAAAAAAAAAAAAGTTAGTTAAAAAAGAAGCTTAAGAGCCATCTCCCTCTTTTAATTTGAACGATGTCAATAAAATCCCATTATTTATCCCAGTCTCTTTATAAAAATAAGGGACTTAAAACTTAATTTGTCTTTTAAAAAACTTTTATTGAGGCCTAATGTACATACAACTTAATTTCTGTTTTAATTATAATTCAAATCTTATTCAGAGTGGCTTTAAGTTAATTTTATATTTTAGATTCTAACTGAAGTTTTTTGTGTGTGTCCTACATAAATTGTATCTGGCCAAACGTGTTTATTCATTCTATCCTGCCCAGTTTTTAGTTTTCAAGGGCATGCAGTATAGCAGAATTAAAGAAACTGAGTGACCTAGTAGTTAGGAAATCTGAGATCTACTCCTGATCTTACATTAGCTGTGTGACCTTGGAAAGGTTTTGCTAACTTTAAGACTGATTTTCCTCATCTGTAAAATCAGCAAGTTTAACCTATCAACAACATTTTGCTTGGCATTTTCATTCCTGCAACTCAGTACATCTGTTAGTTTTTATTAAATTCCTTCAGCCTTGAGTTAGACTACCTGAGTTTGAATCCTAGCCTTACCACTCAGGTTATTTAATCTCTCTGTGCTTTACTTTCCTTATCTATAAACAAGAGAAAATAGCAGACTTTCTTCATATAATCACTAGAAGGATTAAATAAGAACAGTGTTTGGCACATAGAGTTCAATAGATGTTAGTTGTTATTATTATTATCACTATTACTAAATAAACCTAACCTTTTAATGTATGGTTACTCTTTCTAATGTTTTCCAGTTGGTGTTATACCCTAGTCCAAATCAAACTTTCCAGGGATGCTTGAGACTGCGACAGATGTTCTGAGGACATTCTAGTCTATCTAAAACTGTGGTACTACAGTTCCTAATGAAAAGCAAGGGTATTCTTTTGCTTCTTATTCATCAGAAATACTCCTACTACTTTATTAAATTGCCCATTAAACAACTTGTCTTTGATATATAGCAGAAGGGGCGCTTGGGTGGCTCAGTGGGTTAAGCCTCTGCCTTCGGCTCAGGTTATGATCCCAAGGTCCTAGGATCGAGCCCCGTATCGGGCTCTCTGCTCGGTGGGGAGCCTGCTTCCCCCTTTCTCTCTGCCTGCCTCTCTGCCTACTTGTGATCTCTGTCTGTCAAATAAATAAATAAAATCTTATAAAAAAAAAGTCAGATGATATATAGCAGATAAACTGTTTCACTGAAATAACTAAATGCTAGTAATTTATCTTTTTTCTTCCTCTGCAACTCCTGCCTACTGTCAGGTTTTATACAGGCCCAAGCTAAGAATGGTTTTTACATTTTTGGTTGAAAATATCAAGAGAAGAACACTTCGTGATAAGTGAAAATCGCATAAAGTTCACATGCCCATAAATAAAATTATATTGGAATACAGCCATGCATAATCATTTAGGTATTATCTATGGCTGCTTTCATACTACAGATGCAGAGTTGAATACAATTAACCATTGAACAAGGCAGGAGAAATTCTAGTCTCAAAGGGGAAGGGAGACTTTAATTAGACTTAATAAGTGGTGACAGTGTAAAGAACAGCAAACAGACTAACCTCGGAGACCCTGGGGCAAAAAAAGGAGCGTGTAGGAAGCCCACTCAGACTGAGAATTATTCATGCCTGTTCTTCACTCTCTGATCTCCTGAAATCCTTGTCATTATCCCCCTCCCTGCCACCCTCATCCTAAACTCATTAATATAAATTCCTATCCTCTGAGTCCCTGTGCCAAGGGAGCCACCAATAGGGGCTTCAGTTCCCTCTGCCAACATTCAGTAGATGAAGGAGACTGGAAGTAAACAGAGTTCCTCATCCTGTAACAAACGCCGAATCAGGGGGACTCTGTTGCTGGAATTTCACACAAGCATTTGGAACTTCCTGTTTCATAAAATTAAGATGAGGGTGTCTGTGCATCTAAGACACTGACTGCCCCAGGAACTTGTCTGGACTGGCAACAGCAACCTTGCTATAGCAAAATCTATCATGGAGATCACAGGTTAAATAGAAATTCAAGCAATGAGGTAGGACCCCAGCCATCCTTTATGTATTGTTACTATAGAAACATTAATTCTAATGCCTCTAAATTTTGGAGATTGCCATTAAATAAATACTCTTGGCTCACTCTCACTTGCTCAGCTGAAGGGTTCCCACCCATAAGCACTTAAAGGGCAGTTATTTATAAAAGCTACTATTCATTGAACACCGAGTCTACACTATCATAGGTATTTTATTTATTTCATTTAAATCTCAACAAACACTGTATTACAAATGAAGAAACCTAAACTAAAAAAGAGACTAAATATTCTCCAACACCATATTAGATTTGGATCATATCATCAACCAAGAATTTGAACTCAGATTTTGTGGGCTGCAAAGACCCTATAAGTGTTCTCCAAAGACCCCTGAATCCCAAAGTGAATACAATCAGAGTCTACCACTTACCCCCTTGCTGACAGTGTGAGAAGAGACAGAGAAGGTGAGATGACTTCTTTATGTTGGATCTTCAGGGATTTTTCTAAGGAAAAGAGCCATCTTCCCCAAATACTTTTCTTTTCCCCTTCCTAAAGATGGAAGAAAAGCTGACTTCCTTACTTTGACCCACTCCCAAACTAGAGAGACCATAGTTTGTTGAAAGATAAACATCTCCAGCCAAGAGACTCCTGATATTTTCCTACCACTAAGGGAAATGTTGTGGGGTAAGACCAGGCATACTGGGGTTTGGATTCATTTTCCCGCCTCCTTTGCTTTGCTCACATTTCTTTTCCATCGGCAAATGCCAGAAAACACACACAAAAAGAAGAAACAAAAACAGCAAGATCAACCTCCAACTGGGCCGCACCCAAGCCCTCCCCCTACGCAGGCCACACCAGAAAGCTGCAGGGAAGAGGCACAGTACTCCCTTCTCAGATGAGGGGTGGGGATGAGGGGGCAAAGTGAATAAATTAGAATAAGTTAACAAGGGCAGGCAAGGAATGCAACTTTGTGCTGGGACAACACACAAGAGTTGATGTGGGGGGCAGGGGGCATCTCCAAAGGTTACTACAATAAGGGTAAGACCAGTGGGGGGAGAAGTCAGATTTACCTCCACATTCTTCCCAAACAGAGCAGAAGAATTAAGAGTGGAGGGGAAAGAGACACACAAAAGGAAAAGGTAGATATCTACCAATTAGGTAGTTATTCACTTGGTCAAAGGCAAATACTTCTCAGAAAGTCTTGAAATTATAAATAAGTCACACATATACATCAATTGTGGCTTTAATGTGACTATAACGCTCCATATGCCAATTGGAATTTTCATTAGAGGGAAGTAGAAGTCAAGAGAAGTAATTTTGCTCTCTCTCCCTTTCTCTGCCATTGTGTTATGTGACTTGACTCTTTGCTGTGTCTTCTCACAAGACTTTCAGGATCAAACAATTCCTGGCCAAGAAA